TGACGGGTCGTTCAGCTTCGCAAGCCAGCAGAGCGAGTGGTGGTCCGTAACTACGCGGAACGGGCTCCCGTACAAGTACGGACGAAACTTCGTTATTGCCCAGACAACCACAAGGCATTCTTTCTCAGTTGTGGAGTAATTTTTCTCCGCCTTGGACAATGTCCGACTTGCGTAGGCGATGACTCGCTCGATGCCTTCTTGCACTTGGACTAGTACTGCGCCCAGTCCCGCGTTACTTGCGTCCGTGTGAATTTCTGTTTCCGTATCCTGGTCAAAATGTCCAAGCACAGGAGGAGTCTGGAATCGTCGTTTCAGTTCGCCGAATGCCTGCTGTTGCTCCTCGGCCCATTCGAACTTCTCGGCGTCCTTCGTAAGATTCGTAAGTGGTGCGGAAATCCTTGCGAAATCCCGAACGAAGCGTCGGTAATAGGCACAAAGTCCAAGGAATCTTCGCACGGCCTTCTTATCTGTCGGCGCTGGAAATGCCAGGACGGCGCGAGTCTTCTCGGGGTCTGGGCGGACGCCTTCGTTACTAACCACGTGGCCAAGGAACTTCAGTTCGTCATAGGCGAACCGGCACTTGGACGGCTTGAGTGTGAGTCCGGCGGTGCCAATGGCTTGAAGAACAGCTCGGAGTCGTCTCAAGTGCTCGTCGAAGTCAGCTGAAAATACTACGACGTCGTCAAGGTAGACGAGACAACTCTGCCACTTCAGCCCTGCCAGTACGGTGTCAATGACACGCTGGAAAGTTGCTGGCGCCGTGCATAGTCCGAAGGGCATCACCTTGAACTCGTACAGTCCATCCGGCGTGACGAAGGCTGTCTTCTCTCGGTCCCGTTCGTCGACCTCGATTTGCCAGTAGCCGCTCTTCAGGTCCATCGATGAAAAGTATCGAGAGTGGCGCAGCAGGTCTAGAGTGTCGTCGATGCGGGGGAGTGGGTAGACGTCTTTCTTCGTAACCGTGTTGAGCTGCCGGTAGTCCACGCAGAACCGAAGAGTTCCGTCCTTCTTCTTAACCAGCACGACTGGAGAGGCCCATGGACTGCTTGAAGGTTGGATTATGTCGTCATTCAGCATCTCTTGAACTTGCTGATGGATCACCTCCCTTTCCTTAGCGGAGACTCTGTACGGCGATCGATGCACAGGGCGCGCGTCGTCCTCGGTAACGATGCGGTGCTTGGCAACCGCGGTCTGGCGCACCTTCGACGACGTCGCAAAGCAGTCGCGGTGTTCGGCGAGGAGGTTAACCAGCTGACGCCGTTTAGGGTCCGGAAGCTTAGGGTCAACGTCGAGCTGCGCTGGCGACGTACGGTCTTGCTGGGGCGGCGAGGATTCGTCAGTAATCGCGGTGATTTCGGCGGGGTTTCGGAGTTTCTCGACGTGGCCCACGGCTGCACCTTTCGTGAGGTGTTGCGTTTCGTTTCGGAAGTTCGTCACGAGGGCCACAGTCCGCCCATCCTGAAGTTCAGCTACTCCCCTTGCGACGCCTATGCCTCTTCCCAGGAGAGATTAGAGGCTTCCCTCGAGAAGAACTTCGCCACAGGAAGCTTCATCGATCCCGACAAGTACCAAAACACTCCACCGCGGTGGTAGGTTTACGTGGTTTGCGAGGACTCGGACCATGGGTGACGTCGCTTGGGGTTCCTCCGCTGGTGGAGCAGGTTTTCGTAGCGTCAGCCGGTTTGTTCCGAGGTCGATGACGGCGCCATACTCGCAGAGGAAGTCCATTCCGTGGATAACGTCCCTCGAACAGTCTTGCAGAACGACGAACTTGACAGGGCACGTTTCACCGTGGATCTCGACGCGAGCAGTGCATCTCCCGACTGGTGTGATGAGATGTCCTCCGGCGGTTCGTATTTGGGGTCCTTCCCACGGCGTCATGACTTTTCGAAGGCGGCGGGAGAGCCTCCCACTCAAGACTGAGTAGTCTGCTCCGGTGTCCACGAGTGCCGATGCGTCGTGGCCGTCGATGACGACGTTTAGGTTGTTGGACACCGTTGCAGGGCGTCGTAGCGATGCGTGGCGTCGGGAGAGTGGGAGCGCTCCGGCGTTCTTGGAGGCTCTTTACTCGGGTCGTCTTCGGCAACGGCACCTCCAGGCGTTGCCGCACTTAGTTTTCCCGACGAGATAGGGGGGACAGGCTGTGACGGCGCGACCGACGGAAAGGCGACGCGGAACGTCGGGGGGATGGAGAACGGGAACCTCGTGGTGCGGTGGGCGCTGGTGACGGAGGGCGACGGAGGTATTCCTCGATGTCCTTTGGAGAACGACCAAGGGACATCGAGGAATACCTCCGTCGCCCTCCGTCATCAGCGCCCAAAACGAGGTCGACGGTCGTTTGGAGCGAATCCTCGCAGGCCGAGCTGGCGGTAGGGGCACCTCCGGTAAACGTGGTCAGCCTCCCCGCAGTGGAAGCACACCGGGCGTCCGTCATCCGTGCGCCACACGTCGGTCTTTCGAAGTCCACGCTGCTCTTGGCGCGGCGCGTACTGCGGCGAAGAGACTTCTCGTTGGGGTGCAGATGGGTACTGCCGAGCAATAGGAGGCTGCGGACGATGAACAACGGCAGCATAGGTCACAGCTGGTGGTTCCGGTGCGGCGTCGGCGAGAACGTCTGGCTGGAGCGCTTGCTGGACCTCTTCTCGAACAATCTTGGCGATCGAGAGTGAAGCTGGACGTTCGGTGGCAGGTATCAGCTTCTTCAGTTCTTCACGGACGATGTCCCGGGCTATTTCTCGGATCCCTGGAATATTGGGGCTGAGGGCGCAGCTTGACGGCGTGGGTGCAGCGACGGCAGGGGCTCGATGAAAGTGAGCGGCTCGTGCTTGCAGGGCCCGTTCAATGTTGGTCGCCTCTGTTACAAACGTCTCGACGGTGGTCGGCGGGTTGCGGACGAGGCCTCCGAAGATGTCATCTCGTACGCCTCGCATCAGGATCCGCAACTTCTTTTCGTCGGTGGCTTCAGGGTCGGCGCGAGTGACCAGGCGCAGGACATCCTCGACGAAACTGGTGATGGTCTCGTTTGCGCCCTGGGTTCTCATTCGAAGAAGGTCCTCGGCCCTCTCCCGTCGATACTGGTTAGTGAAAGTTCGCCTCAACTCATTCTTGCAGGCGGTCCACGAGATCAATGGTGTCTCCCGATTCTCGAACCAGTGCCTGGCCGTTCCTTCGAGCGCGAAGTAAAGGTTCTGCAGGCGCTGGTCCTCCGTCCATCGGTTGTGCTGGGCCACCCGCTCGTATTGTTGAAGCCAGTCCTCGACGTCTTCGTGGGCGTCCCCGTGGAATGGCGTCGGAGTCCGGGGTGCGACTGGTAGGTAGATGAAGGCAGGAGCGGCCGGGGTCTGTGACTGCTGGCCGTCCATCGTCGGCTTCGTTGGCTGCTTGGTCCTGGGTGGCAGAAGTCCGTATTCCGGGTGTAGACCTTGGGCGCGGCGACTGGTCCGAGTTTCAGGTTCCGCGTCGGGTGGTCTTCTCACCGGGCTCGGAATGGGGCTTGCACTGCGGGCCCTGGGAGGGGAACGCTGCACGGGCATGCGCTACCCAGCACCTCCTCCAAAATGTCACGGGTGGTGACCAAAAAAAAATAGGAAATAAACAGGAAGAAATAAACGTTTAATGTGGCGAACTTGTGCCAAAAAAATAAAAGGGGTACAACGATAATGACAGAGCGTCGCGGGCGTCGAAGTCGGCGGAGCAGCACAGTCGAACGGAGGGGCGAAAAACTGAATTCGCTCGCCTGGCGGAATTCCTTATGTACCCTCGTGGGTTTCTGGATCGTTCGGCGTAGAAGGTTCGGTGCGTAGAACATTCTAACCTCGAATCAGCAAGACGGTTCTCGAATTCACTAGAACATCAAATTACACTGTCAACAAAAATGTGTAGTCGCGGCCAGGAATCGAACCCTGGCCTTCTGCGTGGGAGGCAAGCGCGATAACCGTTAGGCCACGCGCGCGCTGCCTACTTGTCCAGCTGCGCGCGCGGCAATATCTTCTACTTACTCAATCGTTGAAATTCCTCTCGAAACTGTTCCATGCTATAAGTACCTTGGGGTGCACATTACTTTTAACATGTCATGGAAAACTCATACTGACCATATTATCGCCAACGCTAACTCCATGCTTGGTTACCTAAAGAGAAACTTTAGGTTAGCCCCAGTGTCCCTAAAACTACTAATGTATAAAACCCTTGTCCGTTCCAAACTAGACTATGCAGCAGCAATCTGGGATCCTGGTCTCTCAACTCTCGTGACTGATCTTGAAGCCCTACAGAATCGCGGTGCCCGTTTTATATTTACTATCATCGCACATCTAGTGTCTCAACTATGAAAACTAATTTATCACTTCCTGCTCTTTGATTACGCCGAAAAATATCTCGTTTGTGTCTTTTTTATAAAATTTTTCATTCCAATACTTCGCTAAAAAAACAAACTAATGTTAAATCCTGTTTTCATCTCGCCGCGCGTAGATAATCAATTTAAAGTCGGAATTCCTCATTGCATTACCTCAGCCTATTATAACTCTTTTATTCCAAGGACATCTTCAGAGTGGAATCGCCTTCCCGCGCAATTAGTAAACATACCATCCTTTGACTTTTTTAAAAGTGCGTTGACTACTTACCTATTTTAATATTTCTCTTCGTTTGTTTGCCTTGTTTTATACATTTCTTAATTTGCTTGCACATTTTCTTTTTACATTTTTCGTGCTTGGCTTTTAGTGTTTGTATATTGTTTGTGTTCCAAATTTGTCTTGTACCACTCCCGTCTGTAATGCCCCAGGGCCTTGAGGGTACTTAAAAAAATAAATAAATAAATAAAAGAGCTGCGCTTTAATTCGGCGTTACAGGGAGTTGTAAGCGGCTTTCACTTTTTTGTTTCAAACGTTTCATGACAAAGTTCCAAAGCATCAATCCAAGATGCAAGTTATTAATACAATGTTCCACATAAGTCAATAGGGGACCCACTATTACTGCATATCGAAGGGCAATGAATGAAAATATCCCACCTGTGGATACTGCCACAGATGCTGAGTACAAGGCCGCAGCACCTAAAGATTGCTAGAAAGCAATATACAATAAAGTTGATTGATGAGTTTCCTAATATTCACACGCATCCGAACGCAATGGAAGAAAAAAAAATTGACTTACGCTTAGGAACATATACAGACAACAGACACCGAGACCAGTCTTGTTTCCGTACCGCATTCGCAGATACTATTTGGAAGAAGAGTTTTAATTATGAATAAATGACAGAACGCTCACGTTTTTGCTGCTTTGTGTGCAATGCGCAGTCCCTGATTAATATATAGTTCTGCAGAAACCATTAATGATAGGTAACGACGCTGTCTCTTTTGACAGTGTCATCAGTCGAACTTCGCGCTTCCGCCAAGGAGAGTATCACGGAAGAGGGAGGATCAGTAAAAGAAACGAAGGCTCAGTCAAGTAAATCCTCCCCAGCAAGAGTCCCCCCGTTAAAAAAAAAAAAAAAATTGGTTTGCTCTTTATGTTTATACAGACTTGATGGAGATGCGCCACAACGGGTAATCGGTCTCTTAGCTGTAGATGAGAAATTTAGCCGGTGCAGTACAGCCGCTAACCTGGGTTTTTTTAACGTGCATCACGCAGTAGTGATCACACAAACACGTGCCGGTACGAAACTCATCCAGATCGAAACGGGCGGGGGCGGCGGGGATCGAACCCAGGAGGTTCCCAGGGGAAGCTTTTGCTCCACGCTCCGAGGTGAGACGCGTTAGCCCACTCGCCCTCCCCCTCCCCGTTAAATGTGGGCCGTCTTATATAGCCTGCGGGAATGAACGCGCCCGGAGTGGTCGGGTGTAGGTTGGTTCCCCGGAGGGACGGATGCGTCCAAGTACGAAAACCCCAACGGGTGTGCCTTTGGCAAAGCACCGAAAAGGGCGAGGGAAAGCCGTCCGCGAGGGAATACGGCCTCGCTTCGCATCCGGGACGCGCCGCGACATGGTGACGCCTTACGGGGTGCCTGAGTAAGGCTTAGATAGGGATACGGGGAGCATGTGGTTCCCATACTCGCGCCTCCTCAAGGCTGAGGTAGGTTTAATAAAAACAAAAAAATTAACCTACAGTCTCTCGAAAACCAAAACGAAAAAGAACACTGCGGTTCCAGACCCATATGCATGGGGCAACAAATATTTCGACGTCTTCGTTGGCGTTCCAGACCTCGCAGCAGCTCGCTCATCATGGCGTATTGTTCTTGGTGGAAGTCGTTCGTGGGGGCCTTTGGGACTTGTCATGGGGAGGACGGAAACAGCTGGTCCCTCGTCGGCGAGCTGTCCGACTGTCGCGCGGGTCCCATGGATGAAGAGCGGGAAGTCCCCTGACATGATGTCGATCCCGACGGCGCACGAAGACGACGGATCACTCACTCGGTCCGCGGCCGGCCGGGGTCGCGGGCTGCTTGACAAGTCACTCGCAGCCGTGGTCCATGAACGCCGTTGAACTGCCGGAGCCCGGAGATAGCGGCTCCCCAACGGCGCGAAGCAAAGTTCTAGCTGTAGATCCTCTTCGTCGGTGCTCCCGGGGGCCGTACTGCTGAGTGAATGACGGCTCGCACCGCGCTCCGTGCTCCTGCGGTGACTGGTTACACACGTGAGTGAAGGTAGCAATAACTGACCAATGGTCGTTATGCCTACCCTTTCCCTCGGATGTTGTAGTATGAGGAATTCCCCTACGGGTTGAGCCGGGAGCGAACGCTGAGGTGGCCTTCTATTTAGCTCGCTACTTGCCAGCAAGCAATGGTGTCTGACGCGCTCGCGAAGGCACCGAAGGCACCAAAGGCACCACTTCCCTTAATGCGGCATTTCGCCACTTACTGGGGCTGCCTCTACGAAAAGTGCGTATATTAGCTTTTCCGAGTTCACAGACTGCTGAGCGATGCCTATAGTTTATCGCCGGCGTTGTCTCGCGTTTTGCGTGCATATTACCGCAGGGGCTGCGTTTGTTCGTCCCCCTCTTATTCCCTTTCATTGTAGAGTTTGAGATCACAGACATGCACAGGCCCGCCGACTTTTCTCCAGTCCTTCTCATTCAGCTCGTACAAGAGTGGTGAAAAAGCTTTGTGGACTCGGAACGGGACCAACCACTTTGGTACCAGTGAAGCAGAAAAGTCTCCGCTGGCATAGCTTAGAACATGGTTTCGTCTGACAACAAGATCGCCTATTTTCTAGCGGAGATCTCGGAGAGAGCGAGCCTTTTGTTTAGCTCGCGCTTCCGCGAGATTGTGACTGCCCTCCGAGAAAGGTTTCTTCCTCCGGGTTTGTAGCGGGAGCGCATGTTTAATCTGTTTCGACTGTGTGTCGCTCACCCCGCCGTTTGCCTTGAGGACGTGGTTCATTGGATTCGGCAATTGTGTTCCGAATGTGAGGAAGGCGGGGATGAATCCTGTCGAACGATTGACAGTGAAATGGAGAGAGAACCTAATCTCAGGAATGTATATCCATCCTAATCGTGGTGCTTTTCGACACATGCTGCCAGCATGGGCTTGATATTTCTGTTACATCGCTCCGTGATGTATGCCTGTGGGTGGTAGGGTGCAGTTGCTTTGTGCTTGATGCCCAACACTTTGCAAGCGTCCACTAATATTTTCCCGACGAAGTAGCTTGCTCTATCTGTAAGAAGAAGCTCAGCGATTCAAAATCGCGTCAAGACCTCCATGAGCTTCAAAGTGGGAAAGGTTCTACTATTTGTTCAAGTGGTCAGTGACATCGAACAGATACTGGTGTCCTATGGGGCGCCTTGGTAAAGGGCCGACCACGTCGTAAGCCGCCAAAGACCATGGTTCTTGGCTGTGGGTGGGCTGCATTGGGTCCGGAGGTTCGCGCCACCTGGTTTAAAGCTTTGACAAGTGTGTCAGGTGCGGGCGTGGCGGAATCCGTCCCTTTTCATGCCCGACCAGGTTGCAATGTGGCATAACTTTTTGTAAGTCCTACAGCCGCTCGCATGTCTGGCGAAGTGCAAGTCGTGATAGTAACCCTCTAGGGCGCATCTCAGACGTTTTGGCACTACCACCTCGAAAACATGATCTCTATCCTTCTCAGATGGGATGTACTTCAGCAGGAGCCCGTCGGCGGTCAGCAGAAGTCGACCCAGCTTGTCAGTATCAGTACCAGATACATCCCGACACTCGACGTTTACTGCAATACGAGCACTCGTACACACGGCGGACGCACCGCCCAACTCGACGGAGTCCGACTCACTCGAGGGTCCGTCGATCACCTTTCGACAAAACGGATCATTCTTCCGAGCTTTCAGTAGCTCTTCTTTGCTGAACTCAATCCCCACCGCGCTCACTGCGTCTACGTGGTTCACGTTTTCGTCCGATTAGGTCAGTGGTGCTTCCTCCACTTTGGACAGATTTTCGGCTTTGCATGGCCCGGGGTTTGCCGTTTGCTCGGCCTCGGCACTCGTGGAAAGACTTTTGCAGTCTAGGGGGTTCGCGACACTGCGTCGGCCACCATGTTTGTGCTGTCTTTTCTGTACCCCACGACTTAGTCGTATTTCTGCAGTAGCAAGGCTCGTCTCGCTAACCCTCCTGCAGGTTTGCGGAGTCTGAACAGTCATATTAGGCTCTGGTGATCTGTTTCGATCGTGAACGCGTTCCCGTCTTCATAAATGTCGAAGCGCTTCAGGGAATTACAACGGCCGAGCACTCTTGTTCACATGTGCTGTAGTTTACATCGGCTGGTGTCCGCGAGCGGCTAGCAATAGCTAGTGGACCAAGAACCACCCCCTTGTGGTCTTGGAGCAGGACTGCTCCCAGGCCCAGTTTGCTCGCGTCTGTTTGGATCACGAAAGGCTTGTTCAAGTCGGGAAGCTTTAGTTGAGCTGTGTCCGCGAGTGCTTTAGCAGTCCATCGGAATGCCGCCTCCTATTCGGGTCCCGAACTCTCTCCCGGACTTCCTCAATAGCCAGGTTAGTGGCGCTTGGAGTGATGCGCAGTTTGGGATGAATTGGCGGTAAAATTCACCATTATCATAGAGCGACGGAGCGAGTTTACGTCCGTCGGCGCAGGAAACTCCCGGATAGTGTTCAGCTTCTCGGAATTCGGCGCAATGCGCCCGCAGTAGAGCGTGAACCCAAGCAAGTTGACGCGGCTTTCGGCTATTTTGGCCTTTTCTGGATTCAAAGTGATCCTCTCGGCCTTTTACCTTTCGCACACATCCTTCAGATCTCGTAGATGATTTTGGAAGGTGATGGAGTAGACGACGCTGTCGTCGAGGTAGGCCTCACTGCATGTTTCTATTTGGCTTCTCACAGTACTCGGTCAATCAAGCGCTGGAACGTCATTGGCGCTCTGCACAGGCCAAATGACATTCTCGTGAATTCGAAAAGCCCAAGGTGACACACAATTGCTGTTTTCGCCTCGTCACCCGCCTTCATTTCAACTTTAAGGTAGCCTCGGCTTGCGTCCAGGGTAGTGATATACCGTGCGCTGCCAACACCTCCTAGACAGCTTTAAAGCCTGCGCGTTACGTCACATGACGTCACGTCCGGGGGTCCTGCACGGGCGCTGATTGGATGCGAGTGCCCGTACCGGACCCCCGGACGTGACGTCATGTGACGTAATGCGCGGGCTTTGTTGTCTAGGAGGTGTTGGCGCTGCCGAGGTTGGAAAGGATCGAGTCAATGCTCGGTAGCGGATACGTGTCTTTCCGCGTTACGCCATTAAGACGACAATTGTCTACGCAGAGACGTGAGGTGCCGTCCTTTTTTGGGAACAACAAAACGGGAAATCCCGCGTGTTTGTTTGAGCGCCGGACAACTCCGGTGTCGATCATTCGTCCAACGCGACGTCGATGGCATTTCGTTTAGCCAGAGTGACGGGTCGTGCGTTTTGCCTCCATGGAAGAGCATCGCCCGTATTGGTTTCGTGTCGCACCTCGGTTGTGCACTCGGGACGCTCCGTGAACATTGCGTGATAGCGTCGCAACAATGTCGACAAACGGACATTTTCTTGCCCTGACGCGCTGCATGACTCAGTCAGATGAGGGTGGGTTACCTCAGACGCTATGGCGCTTGTTTGCAACCGCGTCGGGGTACGTGTCGAGTAGTTGATACCCGGTTTTTGTGATTCTTTTGCCTCGTCTTGGCGGCTGCTGCCTGCCCCATTAACCAGTGCTTTTTGTGGCGTTGGGGATTCGCAGAAGGGTTTCGGAGGGGCAAAAGTGTCCTCTCGAAGG